ATTTGTAAATTATCTATACACTTGTACTTGTGCAAGTAATGCGACCCGTGAGCTCCCCACTGAAATATTATAGACTTGAATATTTTTCTTGAATTTGTATCTGCTTTCACGATCCGTTCCTGGACGGAACTTTATTTTTTATTTTTAATGTACTTTTCACTTTGGGACAGTTTTGTTTTTTGGAGTGATAACGTGTTTCGTTATCGATAGTGCTGTCATTATGACTTTTATTGTCTCACGCACGCATACGTCTACTGACACTCTTCTGAAAGTTTTACGTAAGCATAAACACACATGGAATTGAGATTGTTTTCGGTTACCAGAAATTACTACTATGTCTATGAAAAATTGACTTATTGTAACAAAACCAAAAGTGAAAACCTGTTACAGTTTACTATTATTTAGAACTAGAAGTTACAAAAATCTGCCTGTGCCACATAACGCTGCGCTTGGGTCGGTATTCACTGTGTAAGGGGATTCAACGGAGTGAAGCCCATACATCTGCTTTTTAATATTGAAAGCCAGGGCGTGGGTGAGGTCAACCTCTCTTGGTACTATTTATTCAGTAAATAAACTCCCAACACTAAAGTTTTCCAAATAATTTTAACAACTTAAAATATGAAAGAGAAATAAAGAGGTGTTAATCATTCAAATAGTCGAAATGTGGGTCAGCCCCAACCCAATTCAAAACGCTGAAAGTGAGATAACATCCTCTGTTTGGACCCGGAGTGGGGGGGGGGTGTATGCTGAATCGTCTAATTGCCACAAAATAAAAGACAAACAAAGTGTAACAAATACCAGCACAAATCCGCAAATTGACCCTTATTAATTACATTTTTCATCTTTCATTAAGTTGTGTCCCCTAAGTCCAAACTGCGCATTCGAGCGCAGCCTTAAGTGTGAACTTTACCTTGTTTCGTAGTTCAATCTTGATCTTCGCATCGTCTGATCGCAAACAACCCACTCACAGCGACCGTACAGATCTCTCACCTCTCACATGGCTACGACACGAACACGACCAGCCGAGGCCGAGAGTCGAGGCGACGAAACGAGTGGTCACGATTCTAGATTCCCGATCCTGGTGAGGTGAGGAAAAGGAGTGGTGGGGGGAGGGGTGGCGAGTAGAAGGGACGTGGGGCCAGGGATCGGCAAGCCTCACACGCCAACGTCAGTGTGGTTGCCTACGCCCAGGGCGTTGATCTGGAGCAGCGCGATTGATTGCAGACGCGTAATCATCCGCAATCTCGCGTAATCCAATGTAATCCCATGTAATCCTACGTAATCCCATGTAATCCTGCGTAATCCCATGTAATCTCGCGTAATCCCATGTAATCCTGCGTAATCCCATGTAATCTTGCGTAATCTCGTGTATTCCTGCGTAATCTCGTGTAATCCTCCGCAATCATACGTAATCTTTAGTAATCCCTTGTAGTCCCACGTAGTCCACCGTAATCCCGCAATCGTGTGTACGCTCAAAAATGGAGTGGTGGCCCCCTCGGACGATCCCCAACAAGCTACAACACCGATCCTCCCTTCTCTCCTGGATCTTCCCAGTCGGTGCAGCACAGCAGTCCCTATGGTGATCGCGCTCCTGCGTCGCCGTCCCGCCTCCAATAGGTGCCCAGGTCGGGTCGCCCCTCTAGGAGGTTATTGTGTCACATTCCTGGCGGCCTGCCGGGCGCGGGCCCATGGCGCGGGCCACACCCACGGCCCCCGGCCTCTTCCCCTCTTCCCGCGCCCGCGCCCGCGCCCGCTTGCCATACGGACTGTCATCATCAGGATTTTCCAATCGCGCCCGCGCTGCTGCTCTCGACCCTCGAACGAGGCCATAGTATTATTTTCGCAAACACAACAAGAAACGACAACGAAAACGGTCACCACCAAAAATGATGACGGCGCGAAGCAGGGGGAGCTTCATTTGCAATTCACACTGCTCTGGTCCAGTTTTGCCGCCGAGGGGCGACCGGGACGACGCAGAGAATACGGAGTCTCGCGACACATTCCACGACGTGCTCGGGCCGGCCCCCCCGCGGCCCCGCACCCAATCACCGCGTGCATGTTTTGTCGTCGGCGCCCTGCCTGGCGGTGCCGTCATCACAATGAGGGGCGTGGCGGCGCGTGGCGGGCGCGGCAGGAGCGGCGCGGCGGCGGGGCGCGGCAGGTGTCGGATGAATCGGAGAAAGTGATGTGTTACTCAACGAGCAGGCGACTCCGCTGCTGCTCTGTGCTCTGCTGGGGGACTGACCGACCTTGGGATCCCCCACCCCGCGGCCGCGTGTGTCGGCCCGGCGCGGCCCGGCGCGCGGGGTCTCTTCCCAGCCCACCGTGCCGCGCTGCGCTGACTAACTGTGTTTTTTCCCCGCCCGCGAGGCGGTCGCGCACACCGGGCGATCTTGGGCTCCATTCTGTTTGCCGGTTTGGCCTGGCCGGGACTGCGGGTCAGTGTGTCACCTGTCGATGGGCAGGCCGCCCTCCTTGCTTTGCGATCGTCAAGCAATAATAAGGTATATTTCGGGTAGACCGGGCACCGGAAACGAAAATACGAAAAATATGCGCGGCGTCAGCGTTTCGGATTTGACATCCGGTCGTCTGCTTAAGCTGTACAACGCGCTGTAGTGCGAGGTGGTGACATCATTGCGGATCAGATTATCTCTATTCCGTATGCGTCAAGGTATAACAGATGGAATTCTTCCTCGAACACTTCGGGAATTCGTCTGAACCATCGCCTAAACTAGCGCTTACATGTGTATTGTACACAGTGTACAAGGTTGAGAAGAACAACAGACCAGCGTGATTTTTGCATCGCGTTTCCGGCGCCTAGCTTGCCCGTGAGACGCCCTCCTCAAAGCTTTGCCGCACATTGAAAATTAATAAGGCTCCTGCTGCAGAAAACAGCACAAAGCGCGGTCCCGGCGTCGTAAATCACCCCACAGTGCTCGGCCTGGCGGTCCAGAGTGCGTCGCGTCGTCAGGCGCTCGGTCGTCAAAGTCACGAAGAGTCGCGGCGCCCCCGGGGCCTCGCGCCTCGCGGGGTGTACTGCAGGGCCCGGCCCCTCCCCACCCCGCCCCGCCCCGGCGCGCCGCTTCCGTCCCCCTCCTTCCCCCCTGTGTTGTCCCACCATTGTGTCTCGCGGGACGGTGCGCTGCGGGTGCGCGTACCCACACCGCATGACGCCCCGCGTTAATCGATACATAATTGCTCGTGCGAGATATCGACTGTGGCGTAACGAGCGTCTGGCCCGCGCGGAGTGCGAGTCGTGTTACGCCACGCCTCATCAATGTTTACTTCCGTCGCATACCGTCCGTGGGGGGTTAGGGGGGAGGCAGGAAGGAGGGGATGACGGCGACCCGGGTCCCGGGTGACCTGCCCTGCCTGACCGGGGTGTCGTCGGGACTTGGAGCAAAAGATCCGAACCCATCATTATGTTGAAAGCGAAAGGGATCGTCTAGAAAAGTATACCCGCATTCGGCAAACTATGGGAGCTTTAACGCCTGCGAGGTTCAGGGTGGGCCACCCCGCAATACACGCGTGCACAGCTGGCAAGATATTGCCTACCTACCAGGCGTTAGGAGAGCTTGCCGGGGGGGAAACGACTAATGTAATCCGGCTGACAACCGTCAGGTAATTCGGCAGGCCGGCAGGTGTAATCCGAGGGAATTCAAAGTAATCCGGGTGACCGGATGACAAGGTACTGGGACTGCGAATGGGGTTCACAGCACAGCAAGGACTATACCTATAGACACAGCAGAGATATAGGTAACGAACGGGGGAATTTCCTTCCTCAGCGCGACCCCCACGGCCGGTACGGAACAGGGGGCTGCATGCTGCATGCGGCAGCGTGCTGGCTGGGAGGGAGGGGCGCGGCCTAGCGGCGGCCTACGCACGGCGGGCACGACGGGCAGGGCCATCACTGCAACGAGCCGCAGCCGCTTGTCACGAGACGTCGTCTCTTCTTCTCGGCGTGAGAAGTGGGCCAGGCGGGGCACGTGGACGGCGCGGCGTGGCGCGGCGGGGCCCGGTGGCGTCCTGCATCCTCTTCCTACCGGCCCGCCTCGCCCTCGTCCCCGCCTCCCTCCGCCCTCACCGCGTTTCCCAATGCATCAAAGATGTCCCGTCATGCGCTGCATTTAAGGCCCCCTGCTGCTGCTGCTCTTTGCCTGACGCAAGCCCTTTTTTTTCGGGAGGACACTGCAGCGTGTGCCAATCGACGTCCTTTACGCCTTCCTTTACTCGAAGAGTACATCATAATCTTGTATAGTGCCACATTCCTTTCCGCACTACAAACGCAAACCACTAGCCTATCCTAGCGGCAGAGAGCAGCGGTATGGTACCGCCCAGGTAAGCTCTCGCTGGCGCAGTTTGAGGACACGCGTGCGGGGGAAGGGCGGGTTTTCAGGGTTTGCATATAATTTCTCACGACCCGAACGAATAATCAGCCACGCTCGTGGCATGTGGTACAGTCTAGACGGACTGAGGACGTGAAAAAAAGAGGAGGGGGGCGACACGTTTTACATGCACTTGAACTCTGTCAGTTTCCGTCGATGAGGGCGATGCACTCGTTTGAGAAGTGCACAATTCTAATTATGAGGTCGAACATCAAGTTACCTTCGCATTCTTTAGACACTCACCTTCGTACTCCGGGGCGAGCAAACGCAGGAAGGGCGCGCCGGCCGCCCCCCAGGCCGGGTGGCGCACGTTGTTGCAGGAGCCGTCCATGGAGCGGTACTTGTCGGGCGGGCAG